CTCGATCATCCCAGAGTGCAGAGCACAGAATAATGGGCTTACGTTACAGGGAGGCCAGATCCGAGCTAAACATCAGGAAAAAATCCCCGGCTGTTGGAGCAGCAGGACAATGGGGCCAAAACCCTAGGAAGATGGGGGGCATTCAAGAGGCAACTGGGCCACCCTCTGAGAGGGATGCTCTAACTGCCTTGAATGGGCGGCCAGAGCAGGTGGCCTTCTGACCCCTTCCAGCTCTACTGTCCTCTGCTTCGAAGACCCTTTTCAGGGCGAGGCCGCGAGCAGCTGCTGACGTTCCTCCGCAGCTTCTGCCTGGAGCAACACTGCGAGGCGGCTGGCTTTGTGCAGCCCCCGGGGAGGTGCGTTGCCTCCGCTCCCGATGGCAGGTCAGCCATGCTTGAACAGCAGAGCCAATGTCACTGTGCCCCTTGCCCTGGTCTTGGAGGCCGGCCGGCTGGCCGGCCACAACGTGGGACCTGCTGCAGACCTGGGGGAAGGTGGGGCCCTTGAGGCGGGTTCTGCCGCTGCAGCACAACGTATTGAGCCAAAGGCACAAGTCATCATAAAATGAGAATAAACGTTACCAGCTAAACTAGCTGCAAGCACATTAAGGACCGCCCAGGCAGGCACCCCCCGTGCTTGGAGGCTGCCTGAGCAGTGGCTGGGAGATCTAAGCTCGTCAGTAAGAATAAGAACGTGAGGGAAATGCAGTTTCTCCAGAATTACCAGAAAGCCTGGGCCTGCGCTGCGAGCCACGCGAGCGTGCCGCTGTCATCCCGGTCTCCAACAGGCCTACGGGGCATGGGGGTTTACTCAATTTCTCAAGATCTGCCAGCTTTGAGAGTTAATTGGCAGCGGGCTTCTGGAAATGCTTGAAGCGTGTGGTGCCAGGTCTGGTCCTCGGCATCGCCAGCCAGGGCTGGGAAAGCGATTGCTCTGCCTGAAACATGGGGGAGCCTTTGCTGCCCATCAGCTTCTGATGCGCCTTGCTTCCTGGAAGGATGCTTCTAACTGGAAGCCCAACACTCATGAAAAACCCCATTTTGATGTAACACAGTTTATTTATTTATTTTTAAGTGTATAGGCTGCTGAGTAACCCATCAGGGCTCTCTAAGCGGCATACAACATAAAACACAAGTCAAAATATTACATTTCCTAGTAACAATTATGGAAAAAAGACCCCGACTGCTGGCAGTGCATGAGATCATGAAACAATGAGTTATTAAAATCAGGTTTCAAAAGGTCTGCAAAAAAGGACAGTCTTTGCCTGGTCCCGAAATGGAAGGAGTTACTGCACCTGGTGGAACTGTCTAGGAAGCCCATTCTAAAGGTGGGGTCAGCCACTGAGAAGGCCCCTCTTCTATTCACCATCCAGCTCACTTCCTTTAGGGATGGCTCTTTCAGAAGGACCTCATGCCCAGATCATAATGGGTGGGTAGGTATATATGGGAAAAGGCAGTCCTTCAAGTAACCATGTTCCAAGCTGTTTAGGGCTTTTTATGTTAAAAGAAGCACTTTAAATTGGGCCAGGGCTTCACCTGGCAACCGGTATTCTTTATATAGAAAAGGTTGCATATGGGCTCGCAAACTGTTACTTGTCACCAGACACGCAGTCCTATTTTGGACAAAGGCAGCCGTACATAAAGGGCATTGTAGTAATCCAGCCGGGATGCTACCAGTGCATTAGTAACTGTGTTGAGGCTCTGTCTATCCAGATAAAGCCTCAGTTGCTGGAAAAGGGCACCTCTGGCCACCGGGTTTGCCTGGGACTCCAGCGATAGTTTTAGGTCCAGGAGCACCCCAGCGCTGCAGACTCTGTCCATCAGGAGCAGCAGGACCCTGTCCAAGGCAGGGCAATGATCACCCGGCCTGTCGGACGGATTGTCAGTCAGCAGCACCTCAGTCTGGTCTGGATTGAGACAGTTTATTAGCCCTCATCCAGTCCAATCACCCCGTTTTATGGGCTCAGCGGATATATTCCTTGTCAAGATTTCTCTCGATTTCAGGGGAGAGGCTCAAAGTCCTACAGCTGATGCATTCCTAAAGGTTTGGGTCCAGATTTAGTCTGAGGACAGCTGCTGAAATAACAGGGACATGTTAGTCATGACTAACTTCAGTCCCATTGATTTCAATGGATCTACTCTTAAGAATATCTGAATTCATTTACTTGCGTTATTCATTTTATTTCTACCTGACCTGTCTACCAAAAATGGCACTGACAGTGGATTATTTCAGTGGAAATTTTTTTCTGGAGCAAAAAAGTGAGTGTGTGAGCGGGGGACGAAGGATTCCAAACACAGAAAATTATTCAGAAAACTATTTATGTCATGGTGCGGAACAAGTGGAAAGGAAGAAGCCTCCCATACCCCACAAACTTGTTATCTAAGAGGAAAGAAAAGTACTTCTTTATGCGACCTGTAATTAACATGGAATTCAGGGCCCTGAGGTTTGCTGAACTAGTTCCTTCTGGAAGGGTATTGGAGAAATTCATGAGGGGTTATTTGCTTCTCATAATAACCAAAGGGAACCTTCAGGCGTCTAGGCAGAAACTCCCTGAGAGTCTGCTGTGAGGTGCCTATGTGGCAAACAGCAGTTTGGGGGAACCAACTGCATACTCTGCTTGTGACTCTTTGGAGACATTTGCTGGGCTGCTGGTGGATGCTGAACTAGCTGGATACGCTTAGCCGGAGACAGCCCACTGCCACTTAATAAGCATTACGGCAAGTGGTCACAGAGCTGGTCCTACTAATACGATCCAGGACGTATGATCTTGTAGGTTTGCCAAGAAAGGTGGGAGGGCAGCTCTCAGGGCAGTGGCTCAGTGGGGTGTGAATGCTCCTTGAGTCCTTGCCCCAATACACGTCAGCTGAAGAAATGCTCTGGACAAATGCTTGATCTGCACGAATATCAGAAAGAACACTACGGTCTGCAGGCGCCTTCTCCTGGCGAGCCAGAGTCACTACTTTTAGGCAGCGTGCTACTGGAAATACAGGCAGCCCCCGGGTGCCGAGCAAGTTCCTCAGAGATAATGGGCATTTGTCCTTAAGTTGAATTTGCATGTAAGCTGGGTCATGTATTGTCAGCCTTCCACACCTGTGGCGATTAGGGGCACATAAGCACTGTGGGAGTGGAAAATCTGTGCATAGCTCTAGTCCCTCCTGCACCCAAACTCCCCAGTGACTCCTCTTTGCAGCTGGGACATGCTGGGCTGATTTCCCTCTCCAGATGGGCCAGGTGCTTTGGAGGCCTCTCTCCCCGCCTTCACTTCTCTTTCTTTATGGTGATGATTTTCTGCAGTATTTAAAAAAATAATGGGCTTTACAGCAGTTCATCCCTAAGCATGGCTTGTTTGTAACTTGGGGACTGTCTGTATTCAGAAACTCCAACTGCAGAGGTGGCCGTGTGGGTTGATGATCAAATCTAGAAGGATCGTGAAATGATCATTTTAAAAAGGGCAATTTGGGAGGCACACGAAAGAAGAATGCAGAATTATATAAGGCACAGAAAAAGTGGAGGTGAAGACATTTTGAGATACCCAGTGAAGATGGATGATGGGAGATTTAGGACAGACATGCTCTCTACTAGCACAAGGTGTGGAAATGGTAACTAACATCGAAACATAGAAACAGAGCGAGTCAGAAGGGGTCTCCCGGGCCATCTAGTCTGACCCCCGGCTCCAGCTGGCTCCACTCATGGCATGTATACCATGTGCATGTCTTGCCTATCCTCAAACACCCTCACCGATGGGGCCTCAACCACCTCCCATGGAAGCCCATTCCATGCCCTTGGGTTCCTAACTGGCAGGAAGTACTTCCTGGCATCCAAATTGAACCTTGGTTCCTTGAACTTGGTTCGCTGGACCATGTCCTGCCCTTCTTTGCAGGGGAGAAAAGGTCTCTACCCACCTCCGTGTGGCATCCCCTCACATGCCTGTATGTTGCTAACAGATCCCCCCAGAGACTCCTCTTCTCCAGGCCGAAAAGATCCAGTTCCCTCAGTCTCGCTTCATATGGCATTCTCTGCAATCAAGTCACCATCCTTGTGGCCCTACACACTCACCCTAACCCTAATATGGAGCCCAGAACTGATACTCCAGCCTTGGACGCACCAGAGACATCTGGAATGGTAGTAATACCTCTCTTGATCTAGAAGCCACGCTTCTGGCTATACAACAAGGGTGACGTTTGCCTTGACCACCACGTCACACTGCTAACTCACGTTTAGCCTGCAATTGACCAGCACCCTGAGATCCCTTTCACAAGTGGATCCAGCCACTAGTCCCCTAACCTGCACTTATGACACCCCTTCCTATGTCCCAAGTGCAAGACCTTGCACTTATCCACATTGAACGCCATCCTGTTGTCTCCTGCCCACTTCCATAGTCTGTCCAGATCCTTCTGGATCCTCAGTACCTGCTCCACAGTTGTGGCCACTGCCCCCATTTTAGTATCATCAGTGAATCTGATCAGCAGACTGGTCAGCCCCTCTTCCAGGTCATTGATGAGAAGACTGGACAGGAGAAGACATGTGGAAGAAAATGGGGATCCAACCCAGAGCTCCTTTTTCAGAACTGTACAGGGCTGCAAGCTAGAAGGGCCGTCCAAGGTGTCAAGGCCGCCAGGTTCTACAGAAGCAGGACCTGCCTGCTAAGCAATCCAGACCCCACTGGCCAGAAAGGTTAAATTTCTTGATGTCAGATATTCATGTGCCCTCGAGGAGTTGGTCATACAACCAACCAGACATAGTACGGGGTGTAAACGTTGCTGTGCCCTTTGGTAAGAGTGACCACACTGGTATCAGATTCAATCTAGTTAGGTGGAAGACTGACAAAGAGGATCAACCACCTGCAAACTGAGCATAAGTAATGACAAGATACTAGAGGGACACCACCCATCTGAAGCAGTGAACTCCATAAGCAAAGCTCTCCATCAGTCATCAAAAACTCAGGAGAAAATGTGGCCGTCACCAGCAACGTCAATAAAAGACAGACTACATCTCAGGAAATGGTGAAAACCTCAAACTGCTTACAGGTACTGGAGGAAATAACGCGAAAGCATCTGGCTTAGGAGGAAAAGCCAATTACTCGCGAATGAGAATGAAGATTAACATACCGGGAGAGATTCTACCCAAACGAGCAGCGGCAACGATCCTAACATAAGAAATGCTTCCCAAGCTTACAACAACAAAAAGAAGAGAAGAGGTGTAGAAATAGGAGACTCCCAACCACAAGGAATGTAAGCCGACCGGAGATGCTATGCATGAGGGACGGCATACACAATGGAAAGCGACACGAAATGGCAGCGGGGCTGCTTACCTGGAGCCAAGCTCAATGGCATAACCATCACTTCGTCGCGACCCGTGAAGCCTTCCGGGGGGCGCCGCTTCCTCCTCCTCCTCCGCGCAGCCAAAAGGGACGCGGGGAAATCACATCAGACCCCGGAGCCCCGGGCGGACGCACGGCCCAGGCGTCTCCGCGGATCCGACCCGCTGAGCGCAGAGGAAACGGCGGGGGAAGACGCGCCCTGCGCCCCCTCCCGCCTGCGGCTGCGCCCCGCCGCGCCACCCGCCCCGACCGGGAGGCCGCGCCGACGCCGCCCGGGCAGCCCCGGCCGCGGAGCCCC